TCCTAGTTTGGGACTCTTCAGGAGTACGCACTCACCGGGATTCGAACCCAGGACCTTCTGGTTACAAGGTGAGCTCGTATACCATTGAGCCACTGGGACCTGATCCAATGGTCCTTGAATTCTAACTTCTGCCAATTCACGACATAGCGCGACCATTTCGTAATGTCTTCTTCGATGAGTTACTGCCTCATCTTCAACCTGCTGTACCCTACTGGTCACGTATAGTATCTTATTCAGTCAGCGACTACAGCGGACTTTTGTTCTTGTATATACCTTTCAGTAATGCACCAGCTTAAGTTTATAGACATCATTTCAAATTAAGGTTTTAAGGCTAATGAAAATCACTGTTGTTATTATCTACGCTTGTTCATATATATGCAATTAATTTTCAATTCAACTGACTAAGTAATTCATCGAAATCATATGTGAATGGTCGGGTCTGTTGTTATCCATGTATTACTTCGTTATTCATACTACTTTGCGTTAGAAAACGAACTCATTCTCAAACGCTAAAAAGTTGTCCTTAAATTCGTCAGCATATATATATATATATATATATATATATATCAGCTACCATCAAGAGAGTCCAATGCAATTTATAAATCAGCTTGTACTATACTGAGTGTTATTGTTCGTGAAGCATTTATAAATTCAAAGTGCAGAATGTTGTCTATCCTGTTAAAATATGCTTCATTCCCGTTGTTCATCTGCTGGACACTAACTATATACGCTAATGCAAATAAAAGAGTACAATAGATAATAAAAGAAGCTTAGTGGTTGACAATATCACGGATTATTAAAATACCCATTTTTCAAAAAATGTAATCAGTTTATAAGGTATTAAAAGTTAGAGAAGTAAATAATTATTACCTGGTCATATGCGTCAAGTCGGTCCTTCTATGCGAGTCAGACACTTGGCGTGTCACGCAAAGGATTACCAACAGGTTGCAGACTTTTATCAACAGCTGCCTCCTTCGCTGGCCGGCACCATACTGATAATCAAATGGCCAGAAAGAATAAGTAGCAAGAAACTGTGGGAACAAACCAACCAAAAGCCGATTGCTCAACAGATTTGTAGGAGAAAATGGAGATAGATCAGGTATACATTGAGGAGACCGTCGAATGACATCGCCCGCAGTGTAGGCCATCGCTCGAGTGGAATCCCAAAGGGAAGCGACGAATGGGTGGTCGGTGCGAGGGTGAAATGGAGGAGATCGTGTGACGAGGAGGAGATGAGAGATTGTGGGCAACCGTGGTCCAAGTTGAAGAGGATGGCAGAAGATAGGACAAAATAGAGATGTGTTGTTGAAGCCCTATGTTCCACTCAGAACTTAAGGGAATAATAGTAGTAGTCATATGCGTTCCTTTATTCACACATTTTACTTCCTATTTTCCACATTTGATAGTTATGCTATCCACTGATTACTCAAAGTTTGATCAACAGAATCATCATTTACAGATTCGATAAAAATGAGGTAAACATTAGATAGTTGTAAAGGATAACATACAAGGAACCCTGGCAAGTAGCGAACCGACTTAGAATCTGTTGCCTAACAAATATGCTGAAGATAGTGTAGATGGACCGAACTTACACACCAGATCCCCGAGTGGGACCCGGACAGAAAACGACGAGTTGAGCCTCCGAAGGTGACATGAAAGAGATCATCTGAGAAAAAAATGAGAGCTTATAGGCGATCATCGGGCAGACTAGAAAGACTTCAGAGGCGAATGTGAAACGGAGATACTATGGTGAAGCTCCGTGTTCCACTCTGAACCCAAGAGAATACTAAAGAGTTGAATATACAGTTATACTGGAAAACCACTTGTCTTCATAACATCCTACTCAAAAATGTGATTTTGGCTTAGAAATACTGCCTTTCAGATTTCTATAGCCTGAAATTTTCAACATTTGTTTAGAAAAGTGAAGGATCAACTATTTTGAAATGCATGAACGTATTCTTTGGAAATGTATGAAATCTAGGACCTATAATTTAAAAATCTAAAGGAATTAATTCATTGATTTGTGGAGGAATTTGCTGCAAAGAATCTACAGATTATCAGAATCAGAATTTTCTTCAAGTTGCTTTTCATACTTCTGGTTTATTATACCTTCCTGAAAAATGGGTTAGACATCATAACATTGATTCTATTTAGCGACTAGTTAATGTTGAAGATTTTCTGAAGGACAATGAAAGCTTTACAATGAAGTCATTCAGCTCAGAAATCAAGACAAAACAGAATTAGGCAAAACTGCTAATTGGTGGTAGCTGTGAATTCGCTGGTTGGTATGGATGTGAATATGTCGAAGTCCCACAAGTTAACTAGAGTTTGCAAGTGACTTTTATTGGTCAGTCGCACAGAGAAATAGAAGGAGGGATCGGTGGAGACTGTCAACTGTTACATGACATATTTAGAGTGGGAATGTCTAGATGACAGTATTGTACCTTTAAATGTAAATGTCATCAAATATCGATTAGAAAAATCACCAAAGCCTTTCGCGCCATACTCTTTGTATGATTATATAATACGAACAATGCCCAAAATGTTTATTTTTTGTATTATAGCTTGACTCCACACAGTATTTTTGATACAAGTATGGAATTTTCAGCAAATTTAGCAGGTCGGCCAGGGATCGAACCCCGGACCATGTGCATGGTCGGCGAGCATCCTAACCGCTGTGCCACCAACGCACAATAAAGGGAGGACCGTCAGGCCTCCCCACTGACAAAAACTACACGCCCGAGCGCACCCGATTAGGTTTCGTCGCGAGCTTCAACCCACCGAGGTGCAATGGTGAGCCTCCACCCGGGGTCAGAGTATTCTTGATCACCCTGAACGCAGTGTGCTTTACCAAATCAATCATTCCGAATGTGTCATATCCCACAAGTTATATTCTCATACTACTCAAATTCTGTGATAAGCGTGTGTATATGTGCACCTCACAGGAAGAATTATCAAGATAGGATCAATGATCGTCTGTCTGTTTGTCTGTCTGGATTCAACATAGAACTTGGCACCGAAGTGCAGCAGTTCGAGTTGCCACGTTCCAAATAGCACACAAAGGTAGACAAGAAGATGAGTGAAGAGAATCAGTAGAGTTTTGACAAGTATATGAGTGAAACAGAGTGAGTAATGGTAGAAAGGAATATGAAAGATTACGAAGACTGAATAAATCTGCGCCATTAACAACGATTTTGAGCCATGTCACCTATTGTCTCCAGCCATTGATTCTTAGAGTCCCGAGGGCCGGGCCCCAACCCGGAAGTCTGCATCTCCCTACCTGACTCAGTTTAACTGTCAAGGATTTCATGGATTGATGAGGCCATGTTTTTGTTTGGCCACCACTTACTCTTTTCCAACCTGCACCTATATCAGCTAGTAATGCCCGTCGGGGGAGGCGATGGTTAGGCATGCGCAGCATGTGACCTAGCCATCTCAATCTATGTAACTTTATAGCCTCTTCGATTGATTTTCCCTCTTTGCCCAACACTCTACGCCTAACGTCAACATTACTTACCTTATTATGCCACCTAACGTGAGAAAGAGATCGTAGACATCTATGATAAAAAACAGTCAACCTTTTCATGTCTTCAACTCGTATTGGCCATGTTTCAGAGCCATAGAGAAGGACAGAGCGAACTGCTGAGCAGTACACACGTCCCTTGGTTGATAGCCGGATGTCACGCCTACGCCAGAGATGGTGTAAGTTAGCGAAAGCAGCTCGAGCTTTTTGGATCCGTGCTGAGATTTCGTCACCAATCAGTCCGTTGATGCTGATACAACTTCCCAAATAGGTGAAGTGGTCAACATGCTCTATCACTTCACTCCCTATCACTAAGCTAGGAGTTGACGTAGATGATCGCATATCTTATAATGCACAAATCCTGAACATTTTCTTTTTTATTACAATTTATCTTTTGATATACTTACTTTGAAGCTGTCTATTACCTTTTAGCCATTGATTCTTATTCTTTTGTTACTCCTCATATTGATTTCCTCCAAACGTGATAATAAAGGCTATTATTACATCAGTTGATGTGTATTAACACCACATCTAGCAGTTTTTATCTTCATTTTTTGTATTCCTTTGCAAAATAATTCTTTTTCGCCAATTTAGTTAACCATAGCGGCATACATTTGTAGTATGCACAGCTGCGAATTAATCACACAATGTTTTGCCGTCTGTGTACATAATACTCATGCTATTGTCTGTCTATTGAAACAACGTAAAACTGGGGTGAGTGCTACTTACAATCCGATGTAAGTAGTATATCAGAAACGAATTCAGAAAAGTAACAATATATTTTGCACACTGGAAAGAGTAATCAAAGAAGAGAACCATGAGAAGAATGTTGCCATATGATGCAGAATCCAAGAAGCTATAGAATGTGATGATATTCGACCAATTCGTCAAGGATTTGGTAAATGATGTGCAAATGGCAGTTTGGAAATATGGTATACCGAAGTTACCTATGTACAATACGTTTCAGCAAATAAACATTCCTTTCAGCCTCCTCGGTCTTTTCTTCTTTACATTTGGTGTCGCTGCCAGGATTCTTCTTTACAAAACTATATACTACTAATTGATTGAGATGAGTAGTTAGATACCATTTCATATCAACTAGTAGTGCATACCAGCCAGATTGAAGTGATCTAATCAGTGTACAGTCGTTTCGCTTATTCGAAGCTGAGTTCCCCCAAAGGTGTACCCAGGTTCGCTCAACGCAGGGAGATGAGTCACTTCAAACCACTTCGACTGATTTCTTGTTAGCTACTCGAGTCATGTTTTGCTGAATGTCTAACGAAAATGACGGGGAATTGAAAACAAAAGCAGATGTACAACATTTGAAAACATATTTTAAAAAAGACTTTATTATTTGCTTAGAAAAAAAAATGAACAAGGCGTGATATCTGTATTGCATATTAAAGTTGCATTTTTTTCTTCCGTTATATAAATATTCTTTAGAAAAAAAAGCAAAACAACAACAACTGCAAACTTATTATTGTTTTGAGCTATTGTACACACTTGAGTCTGAGGATAAATCGAACTGTGCATAAGGCGTGACTAAATCGATAGACTTTTCATCCGCTTTACGAAATGTTGCCAGTCCAATAAAATCATTCTGTATAAATTTATGTCCAGATAACTTGTTGAAATCAGGTGAATATTCTTGAATTCTATGATTCGCAAAGTGTTTTCTTTGTCCTAATATAGTTGTACTAGCTATACTACTATTTTCATGTGAATTTGATGATTTCCATGCTGGATTTAATTGTTCTGATTGTTCACTTTCTATTGTTTTATTGTCTTCTCCACCACTACTAGTTTTTCCAGTGCCTCTTTGACGTTGTAATAATAGATCATATCGTTGTAATTCTATAAGTAGGGAAGTTTTATTTTGAACTGATTGGTTTTCAGTGAATTGTTGGGTTCGGTGTTGTTGTTGATTATTTAGTGGAGGTGGCGGATAAGATGGAGGCGGCGGAAGATGAGGAAAGGTTAAGGCGGATAACTGAATGGGTATAGGTACATCGTCTTGTTGACTCTTATTGCATTCTATAGGCATACCTGTATTATGGTATATTCCTGGTAGGCATAAGTTGTTATTATTGTTATTAGTACTGATTCGATTTTTTACATCAGTGTTACCATTAATATCACCCTTTATCTGATTATCTGAATGGACTTCCTCTGCTTTAGAGTATAAGTCATTTTCATGAGATTTATGCTTTGGCATTGTTTTAACTAGCTCATAATCTGAATTACTGTTATCATTATTATTATGGTTGTTATCATATAAATAACTTGAATCAGAATAATTTTCATTTAACCCATTGAACAATGAATGCATTTTTTGTTTATCTATCTGTTTAACTACTAAATTTGAATTTAAGCGTCGAAGTGTTTCAGGAAAGCTGTTTTGATGATGAAGATGCGTTTGGTTATGAGCTTGAGTCTGTTGACTCTGAATCCATGTGAATGTATTTTGATTGCTAATGAATAATGACCGATTATTATTATTATACTGCTATTATTATTGTTATTGTTGTTCATAATTGTTGATATTGTTGGAGTTCAACATTTTATAATCCACTAAATCTTGTATTTGTTGTGTTGATACTGAATGTATGCTAAATAATGGTGTAGATATACTGCTTGGATCATATTTTTGATTTTCTGTATTTAAACTACCTTCACTTTCTTCACATCTTACTGGATGGTGATGTTGATGATCTTCAGGAGGATTACAAATGCTCTTATTATTAGTATCATTATTATTATTATTACTGTCACTTGTTGTCACTGGTGTTCTTTTAAAGAGATGGGATAAGTTATCTATTGATTTGACATTTTTATTCTTTGTATGATTGTCATGATTGTGGTTAATCATGATAACACTGTCTTTGTATGGAAAACAACACCAACAATTTGTGCAATAGTATGTAAGTGACTTTCCCACATCGGTATTTTTCTGTAATCTGCAAACGAATAAATAAAATAAGGATAATATATGTATTTATTGTCAGATAGTGTACTTCGTTACAGTGTCTGATTATCAAATAAAAGTTGTTCCTTCCATTTGGTATGTGGTGGTGTACGCCTGTAATCTAGCTACTTGGAGGTCAGGGTGTGGAATTTCGCGGGACCGGGGATTCTGGCATATGGGCGCTCATGTTGATCGGACGTTCACTCTAAACACGGCGCCAATATAGGTGACCTGTTGGAGAACGGGTTGTCTAGGTTGATGGTACAGCGGTTAGGGGTTCGCCGATTATGCACATAGTCCGGGGTTTGACCCCCGGCCAACTCACACCTATTATCAATGGTCGGCCAGCTACATTTGGTTGACCGATATAACATGCTGAAAATTCCATAAATGTACCAAAAATACAGTGTGGAATCAAGCTATAAATAAATAAAATATGGTGGTAAACATTGGGACCTTGAAAGTATATTTTGTTCCCTTTCAAACTCATCAGTATGTTGATGTTACTCTCTTGGTTTTAAAGGACTTTTTCTTGCTGAAAAACTCAGTGTGAGATATTGTATCCAGATATATCTTAATGACGTATCTGTTTATGATTCCAATGATAATTAATAAATATTATGATAACAGTGTCTCTACTATACCTTTCAGCATGTGTGAAGGAGGAGAAACAAAGAATACCTGCTCCCTCAAGACTTTAGGGTTATCAAATTGTTTCCCATAGTTTTTGGTATCAGATACAGTCTTAAGTTTAGAAAATAAAACTGAAATGTTGATTTTACGAGAGTATTGAAAGGTTTCTGTCTTAATAAACATTTACTTTTTTGCGATAACTGTATTCGTATGCATTTGTATGTTTCTCTTCATCTGTCCATCAGACAGATGAAATTGAAATTAATATGATGAATGTACGAATCACTGGCTCTGTGGTTACATAACAATGCAACTTGTTCAGCTTCACCATATGCCGATTGGTCTGGAATCGCTCCACAGTTGTTTATTTGAGAGAATTTCTGTAGCATGTAGTAACGCTTTCTTTACAATTTGTCAGAGATATTCAGTATAAGAGAAACTGTTGTTGTATGTCACAGTACACCCTAAAGCTAACAATTTTAAGGCCAACCTGTCGTCTTGACAAACATTTCTCCCGGAAAAGCCTCATTATATATATATATATATCTGCTCTCACTTCTTATTAACATAGTTTCATACTTAGAAGTTAACTGGTAGATGGTGACTAGCAGTGGAATCTAGGATACGCATTTCGTCCTATTTAAGACTCGTCATCTGGATGCACCTGCATTCCCCAGTGAGTGATGGTGTTCCCACCGAGGCTCGAATCCAGTGTCCGTAGTTTCAAACGCCAAAGCTTTATCCACTAGACCACTTGGGACACGAGAGCCACCTCTTGTGCAACCGGACCGAGCACTTCAGTCCAATCAATTGACTGGAAAATCTAAAATTGAATCAAATAATTAATATGACCCGTTGCACAAGAAGTGGCTCTCGTGGCCCAAGTGGTCTAATGTATAAAGCTTTGGCGTTTGAAACTAGAGGCACTGGGTTCGTGCCTCGGTGGGAACACCATCACTCACTGGGGAATCCAGTTGACGAGTCCTAAATAAGACGAAACGAGCATCTTGGATTCCACTGCTAGTCACCATCTACCAACTAACTTCTAATTACATGCCCGGACATCATCGAAGCATCTGCGCAAGAAGCCGACATGTCAGCCTGAGACCGAGCACTTCGGTCCAATCAATCGACGGGAAAATCTAAATTGAATTAAATAGTTTCACACTGTTTCGTGATAACTATTAAATTTCAGGATAAGAGCATTCTTCATAAGAGAGAATTAACATAAATAAACATACATATTGTATATATATATAACTTAGAATCAGTGAAACTGCAGTGAGATGTATTCATTTTTTTAGTTACTTGGGGCTCAGTAACCTAGTGGAAAATACACTAGCATTTCAAGTTATACGAATAGGGTTCTAATCTCCATAGAAAGAATACCACCGGGATGCAGACACATCCTAGGGAGAAGTCTAAAATAGGATGAAGTGAGCGTCCTGGGTTTCAGGACTGGCTACACCTAGACAAATAACATCAGATATATCAGTTAATCAATGTGATTATGAAAGTTAATTCTACGATCATTTAAAAATTTCTATCTAATAATGAATAACTTACTCTTGTGAAGTCACATTATTGATCGGCTTCATCCAGTTATTATCCATTTGACCTAATGGGGATGATCGATATTCCGTAGAAGGATTTATGCTTTCAGTAGAATTGATACCATTTAAGAAAAGTGGTTGATCACTTGAATGTTTATTTGGATATACGATACTCATTTGACTCCAATTTTGACAGCTGTTTATATTTTCTGACATTCCTATAGCGCTTATATGATTGACTCTTTCACTAATAGGTGATGCTAGAGTATTTCTATTATTATGACATGAATAATTACAAGTTGTGTGACAATTAGTAATAGGAAAGTGTTTGTGTTTACGATAAAGTAGTAGTGCAGTTGACAGGAATATAAGACCGATTAGGATGATGGATATGGCAATCCCCATAGCCACATAAATCGGCTTTGCTAATAACACGCTCAAGCTGTAAGATTTAGAAGGCATTGGTTTTAGTGGATTTAAATAAGGCGAATGTAATTTGTTTGATAATGCTTGACTCGACTCCGTTACATCACTTTGTATTCCTGTAAAATTTGCAAATACAATATATATACTACTTATTAGTAGGTGGAAAATTATTCAAAAATTACCTAATCTGTGAAGGGTAGAACTCGGTTACTGTGGTAGAATATAATTCCGCATTAGATAAGTTTATTCGATATACCACACGGTGATACAATATGGACAATTGTTATTCGTACTGTACTACTCTGCGTTATGTCAACTAAATTTATATACAACGAGAAATTATTGTCATATCCCTAAATAATGCCATGAAGGAATACAGCTATAAAATAATTGTTTTAAGCAAAAGTATGGAAATATCTGTATTAACAAAATAATTCTACGCTGTTGACCGAAATAGCTCCTTTGTAGAAATTGCAGAACTGTGCATTTTGTGAATGACAAAGGTTATTTTACATGATCTGAAAACTGTAGTGTGTATGACTAATATCATCCGATTAATTAAATCACACACGAAAGCTTTTCACACACATTTATATGATTTGTAAGGTCACACCTTTTAGAAAAGGTCAAATGACAAATAGAAAGAGAAATATCATATATCCACCAAGTGAATCTTGTCATAGAATGTTAGTTGCCAACGGCAGTTTAGTGCAGTAGTAATTTACTCTCAGAAGCGTAAAGTGGGATTAGAAATCTTCATCTTTAAAGAAACTAAAGTGATTTTATCAATCTAATTTACGTAAATCAAAATTACTGGTCTATTTTGCATAAAGTGCGTGTAATGTGGATATCCTAAGATATCATTTAATGACTGGCTCTATACAAGAAGTTGCTTGGAGTTCTACTGTGAATTAGTAACCAGCGAGGTCCACCAAGACAGGTAAGAGAACGGTTACTGGGCTATGAGGCGAAGTTCAACAATAGCGTCCCAGGAGTGTCAACGCTCCAATGACCTTGAACGCATGCTTGTCGTTGGCTAACGGTATCTGTCATTATCATAGCTGAAATATCAACGCAAATAGCAGTAAATTTCACCCAGATCACGTTTTTAAGTACTGTTTGGACAAGGTGTTAATTGCTCGTTAGGGTTAGGATCAGGGTTATAATTAGCATTAGGGTTAGAATTACGGTTTGACTAACGGTTATGATTAGGGTTAGGATTAAGGTTAGGTTTAGTGTTAGGGTCAGGATTAAGCTTATGGCTACGATTAGGGATAGATTTATAGCTTATGTCATTTATTTTAATTTTTTTATTATCCACGTTTTCCTGGTAAGTAGTCGTTTATCCTCTTTCTGGAAACCATAATAATTCAACCGAGAGCTTTTTGGAAGACTGCAAGCAGGATGAGAGAGGGATAAAAGATTCACAAAAACAGTTTATCTGTACTCATCTCGTTGAATGCATGTACAGAAACTAGTTTAACTTAGCAACTGATACTCCTCATTACAACTAGGACGTATTTTTAAGCCACGTCAGAGAAAGATAACCTGTTTTAATGTGTTTTCAAGCATTTCCTTGTCAATATACATCATTTTTTGTGCAAAATATCCTAATTTTTATGATTGGTCGGCTGAAGGTCATTGAGCGTTCGCACTCCTGGGACGCTATTGTTGAACTTTGCCGGCTATGATATTGGCCAACGGTTGCGCTATATACATGGCGCGAATTGGCAGAAGTTGTAATTTATGGGCTCCTGGATTCCGAACCAGTGGCTGAATGGTCTAAAAGATCATGGTCCTGGGTTCGAACCCCCGTTGATGCTTACTGATGAGGAGTCTTGAAGTAGGGCGAAACAGCTGTCCAGCACTCCCATATTTTCCATATTAACTGATGTCAACTCGTGATCAAACGTATATATATATATACATTTATATAATATATATATATATATAGTAGAATTCTATCAAACAGACATTTTACTTAGTCTAAGTTAAACTTCAGCGACCTACTAGACTAATATGTGGTATCACCAAATCAATCTATACCTCCTGTTCTGAATTTGTATAACGAGTTACTGGAAGATCGAGGTATTGATTACTGTGTCAATAGTGGACTATTTGAAATTACTAAAACATGCATATGGTTGGGAGGGGAGGGAGGGGAATGTTCGACAACACAACTGATCTATTAGGTGAATTAGAGTTTTTGAGGTAGATTAAAGAACAGGTTCAGAAATACAGACGGATCTCAGAACACTATGATCTCTAGTCATCACTTTAACAATTTCTCAACCTTCATTACTCCTTAATTCCGACTACTTTCCTAAGGTCAGTGGTAAAGTTTATTGAGGTGGCTGCTGCGGTTTAAATTCTCTTTTACTTATGGTCACTTATAAAAGAAAGACAGACACTGTGTTTACCTATGTATTATCAAATTTATATAGACTTACTGCAGACAAATAGTTTTATCCATTTGTCTTACTTAATTAAAACAATAGGGGTGAATAACACTCAAGTAGTGGAGAAATTGTAATGCTAAAATATCCTGCAAACATACATACAGAGTCGCTGAGAGTAAACACTTTGGTGTCTTTTGACATGTAGAAATTTAAATCCATTTTGTGCTTCTAAAAGTAATTTACCGGTAAACTAAGTCTTCTATTGGCAACTCACTTTTAATGTCAATGTCTACTTAAATATACCATCATTTTCTTTCCATTTATGATTTGGCCTCTTTCTATCTTAACGATGTGACCTTATTATATTTTAACCCTTTCCATACTTTATGAAATGGTATACAAATTTGTATTAAAAAGTGTATGCCTGTTTGACTGGATTAGTTGAAAGATATTAGTCATATGCGTTACACATGTGAAATAGATTATTAAATTATTTTACGGTGTGCATTAATTTGCCAGTCACTTATTTGAAATAATAATCACAGATGTGTTTTCTGATGATTTATGGTGTATCTTCGTCAAATAAGTTTAACAAACTGTCTTTGACACGTCTTTGACGCTAGGGACTAACCCTTAATTTAGTGAACATAAATATTCTGAATGACGATTTAAGGTGAAAAACATTGTGTGTCGTTGCAGGATTGAAAAAAAACAGTCTGAAACGCCACTGTTTGTGATGTGATATCCTGCTGATAACCGCAACCGAAATAATTAAGTTTTTTTATATTTCAAACGAAACTGCCACGTTATGCATCAACATTAGTCTGCCAATTAAAAGATATTTAGGCTGTATGATAGGTGAACATGACTATGTTTTGTTGATTAATGGGGCATTTGTGACTGTCCTCTTATTTGGAAAACAGGTAAAATGCTCTGGCTTTACTAAATATTGCAATTAAAGCGAAATCATCCTCCAGGTGGTCGGAGGGTGCTCGCATCATCAAAATTCTCCCCTAAAGCCTGTGAACTTCCATCAGCAGTTGCCTTGACTTATTACCAAGGTTAATATAGTCAGATGGGAAAGATAAGCCATGAGCGAATCAGTCAATAACTTACTGCCCAACAAATACGCTCAAGAAAGTAGAGATGGTATGGATATATGCTGAGGAAACCTACAAGTGACATCACACATTATGCTGTCAAATGGAACCAGGATGGGAAGCGACAGATTGGGTGTCAATCTTAGGGTAATATAACGAAAATCATGGGAAGAGAAAATGACGTAGGGCCAGTTGAAAATGATGATGGAAGACTAGTTGGAATGGATATGAGCTTCTAATTCCCTGCGTTTTACTCGGAACGCAAAGGATGAATAATAAAATGTCGAGTATAAATAGGAATATACTAATAAAACAGTAAATACAATTAAAATTAAATTTCATCTTGACTCAAAGACATTATATCGAAAGGTCCTGGATTCGAACCCCGGTGGGTGCATACTGCTGAAGAGTCCCAAACTGGGACGACACAGCCGTCCAGTACTCCCAGCTGGTTTTCCAATGGTTCTCCAACCAGTGTCACCTCATGATGAAATCCTGTAACATTATACAACAGTTTAACTAATTTCACTGTAATCCACCCAGCTTCTATGGTAGCTTTTGAATTCCTTAATGAAAAAGAGATACCTTTTGTTCTGATACATTCGACACAGTATCCACAAAAGTTTTAAAAACGAAACAATAAAGTATAGGATAAGCCAAAATTACAATGATTAACATAATCTATCCTTTCAGCTTAGAAATGATTTTTTTTAAATTAACGAACATCTGTTTCCACTTACAGATTTCTCAAACTTAATTAAATAACTCGCATTTAATCCATATATTATGGCACGTGCTACTGACATGACTTATAAGTAGTATATGGATGCAGATACAAATATGTACATCATCTGCAAAAATATCGAATAATTGAGAGATGAATAGAGCAAGAACGAAAGTGGTTTGTGCAGAATAATATGGTACCATCATTTATTTCGTAGGCTTCTCATCATCTGCTTACAGCCTAAATATATAATGAGGTTTGCGTACAGAAAAGTTTTAACATACTTGCAAATTTTTACATGTTGCCAGTTGACAAAAAGTTCCACAGTAAGTGAACAGTGCTCAGAAAATTGCGCTTATATAGTTTTTACACATGCAGTTCAAGTTTAAACAAAATAGATGTATGCATAAAATGGTAAAGGAGTTACGTAATAAAGACGAAATATGAGTTAGATACAGAGTGACTAAGAAATTAGGTAACAATGTACTGAGTTCAACTCAAATCATAGAAACAAGAGACAAGCAAAATTACAGAATATAAAAGGGGGTGAGGTTAAAGACAAAGATTACGTAATCAGATGAGAGAATAAAGACATTCAGTTACCAGGGCAAAGAGAGATTAATAACTGCTTCTTTCTGAACACATAAATCTGGTTTCAAGCGTTTGATAGAGATTGCTTCGGCAAACTTGAGGAGAATGGAACTCCTTTGTCTATTGATAATTTTAAAGGATTTCTCGATTTCTACCTCATGACCCGTGTCGAGAAGATGTCTAGTGATAGCGCTGCTATAAGAGTTTGTTCCCTTGAGACGTAGGCTTCTTGGCACATGTTCAGAAAATCGGAGGTGTGCCCTTCTTTCTGTTCTCCCAATGTAACTGCTCCGCAGATACAC